CCCCGCTGCTGGTGGCGGGGTGCACTGCGGTGCGGCCGGCAGTGCGGCGGATGGGATGCGTCGCAGTGGCGCTCCAGGCGGTGTCGTTGTTGACCGGCGCGGCGAGGTGCGCGTGCATTGCCGCTGCCGGCCCCTCACCACGGACACCGTACTCTAGCACCCACAGGAACTCGCTGAACGTGATAGAGCCCGTCCGGTCGGGGTCGATGACATGCCCCACACATGCGTCAAAGTTGGCGTCGACGTGGAAGCTCTGCAGCATGCGCCTGAAGTCGGTAAGACGGACAGTGCCACTGCCGTCCGCGCCGCCACCTAATTCCGCAAAAGCCCGGCGCTCCAGCATGTAGCCACGGGCGGTTGTGCGTATCATCGCAGACTCCGGCCGCTTCTTTTCGCGCGGCAAGTGGAATTCACGCTCCCGACTCATCAGCACGTGTGGCACCGTTGCCTCCGTAGGCCGATCACCCCTATTTCCACTACTGTGTTTGGAACTTAGTGATATCTCCTGCCCCATGTCGGTGCAAGGACGCGTCCCCGGACGAGCTACGTCATCAGTTATTGCTGCGGTCGCCTCGGCAAGGGCGGCGACGGGTGCACCTTCGGCCGCCTGAGATTGAGTGGCGTGGGCGTGTGTGGACTTCATCAACGTGGCGAAGCAGAACACCTCCTCCCGTGTAAGGATGCGGTGCCTCTTCGCTACGAGATGCGCCGCTTCTTCTTCTTCTTTTTCATTAACGTCGCATCCCACCAGCTGATCACAGGGAACACCCAGAAATATTTCTAGCCGCCGCAGCCATTCTTGGATTTCATCAGGGCCACCGCCGCCAGACAACTCATACAGCAATCTGAGCAGACAACCTGCCTCAGAAATCGACTCGGTATAGCGAGCAAACGCCGCATCGACATGCGTGGCTTCGTCTTTGCCAAGAGGACGCACGGTTGAGCGCGATGCACTGCGACGATGGCCCTCGCCAACGCTAGACGAAACCTCCGAGAGAAATGGCGAGAACACATCCTGCTGCGCCTCTTCGTCCACGCCCGACATAACTGTTGATGGCACGAGCAGGTCAAAGGACCCTTGCGGAGTTGATTCTAGAGGAGCAGCGGTAATGGTGTGGGTCGAGAGTGGCGTCCTCGGCGTGGAGGACGCACGCGACAAGGACGGCGAGGAGGCCGTGATAGTCACGCTCACCTCATTGTCCTCCATGATCATTGGCGGCGAGAGCGGGGAGAAGTGCAGCTGCGGCCGTCGCGGCTTCCACGCCGACAAGCCCCGCGGGGGTGTCTCCCGCGGCGAGGTTCGACGAGAGGAGCTCGCCACGTGCATTTCCAAAGAGCAGCAGCGGTAGCAAACTGCGGCGGAAACGAACTAACCAAAGATGAATTTCCTAAATTTACAAAACAATCGGATAAATACACCAACAATATCCGCCCGCTGCGTCCTGAGCCCAGGAGGCGGATTGCTGAAGAACCTCCACAATGTTGTGTTCTTTCGTGGCCATGCATGGAAGCGAACAAAAACATAAAAAATAAAATAAAGGAAAGGCAAAAGAAAAAAAAGAAGGAAAGAAGATCAACACTCACAAGAGATGCGGTGAAGTGTTATGTGGCCCGGGTAGGTGGATTGCCCACCCACCAGAGTTCGCTCTTTCCCCCAGACCTTTTTTTTTTCTTCTTCTGTTCCTCTTTCAAAGAAACGAGAAATAAACTTCTTTCCTTTTCCNCCCCCAGACCTTTTTTTTTTCTTCTTCTGTTCCTCTTTCAAAGAAACGAGAAATAAACTTCTTTCCTTTTCCTTTGAGTCGCCTCCTCGCGTGGTGCTGTGTGTGTGTGGCTGCGTCCGTGCGGCATGTGTGTGGGGGACGAGCGGCGCCTCACAGGCGTCCCGAGACACGTGCCAACAGGAGGCCTGGACCAGCCACGCGAGAGCACATATAAATATAAATATAAGTATATATATATACAGCCTGGGGCACTGTGTGCCCTCCCCACCAGCAGCACGCACACACATCCCGAGAACGAAGAAAAAGAAAACCAAAGAAAACAACAAAGCAACAATACACTGAAATAGTCCACGAGGTGATAATACACACGCCTATCGCTTTCCCCCTCCCTCTCTCTCTCTTTTCTTGTTCGTCTTCCTTCACTTGTCTTCCCCCTCTCCTTCCCTCAGATGCAATACGTAAATACACTCCTTTTTTTTTCTTTTGCCTTTGCGTCCCTCACTTGCCCAGTCCTTACTTGCTTACATCGCAGCAGTTCAAAGGTGAAGCGGAACGAAAACAAAAAAAAAAGACAACTCCAAACAGAATAGAATGAAATAAGAGTCTTTCATACGCGATTCCATTCATAACCCTACCGCTGCAA